ATTCCATTTTTATTGAAAAAGCAGCTGTCTATGATGTCAAAAAGGAGTGCTGCGCATAATGTGACTAATAATATTAAACGAATCAAATTACTGTTAACATATATGCCTATACAATGAAAGCTAATTACCGGTACTTGCGACGTAAACATAGTTAATAATGAGGACCTCAAATCACATATTTTAAAAGGGCCAAAATTTAAGAAACCTCGATCTTTGAACTAACGTCATAATTTCATTAATATTATGAATTCGGTGGAAGATTACCCAAGACGAAAGGCTAATTATGAAAAAAGAAGACATTGACACTATATCAGATTGGATTAAAAGTATCAGATGGATGTTGAAATCTCCCATTAAGCGGCTGAGGGGCAATATGAAACCATCTATCCTTCTGAAGTGAAAAAAGAATTAGATAGATTACACGATCAATATCTCCTGATACTAGCTGACAAAGCGGATAACAACATTGTCTTTGTTTGAAAATTCATTATTTTAATTGTATTTTAGAGGAATTTGATTAAATTCAGCAATTGTTAATCCAATTTTTACTCATAGTTTCTTTTTAAGGAGGAAATTCTTCAAATGTAAATCAAATAGGGTACCAATTTTGATGCATCAGATGCGCATTTCCACAAATTATGTCTCTGCAGTGATACTCATGCCGAAACGTTGGAAATCCGAAACATTTAAATTAAAAAAAAAGCATTAAAAAGCTGAAAAAGGGGTGCCAAAGACTGGAGCCAGATATTTAATTTATTTAATCAGTATTTTATTATGTAAAGTCAGTTTACATAATTGGATTGGACATCAGGCATGACCTATATAAGTCCTCTCCAAAAAGGTCAGGGTTACAAATGTTAAGAATTGACAATGTTTTACAATCATGATGAAATAATTCATACTAATTTACATTAATTTCTTTTGTTAACTAGAAATGGCAAAAAGGGAGAGATAAATTGATAAATACACAAGAGTTATTACTTAATATGTATACACACTATACAATATAATGAAAAAATAAAAGAGTGCAAACAAACAAATAAAGTGCAAAAGACAAATATGCAAGGAAAAAAAGCGAAGAAAATAATATGAATAATAATAAATTAATCTGGAAAAAGCAAAATTAAATTAAAAAAAAAAAAAGAAAAAAGAAAAGAATGAAAGTGCAAAAGACAAATATCCAAGAAAAAAAAATACAATATATGTACATTGAAATGCTGAGATTTGAAATAAGTATAAATATAAAAAATATTAGGAAAAATTGGAGCCAGATATGTCGAAGGATCAGAGCTATGCATAAAGGAAAATCAAATGTCAGTTTTAATATTTCTAATATAATATATTTGAATTACTATACCTATACTGGATTCGTAAACTATATAAAAATCCTTACAAACAAAGATACATAGCGGGTTCTAATAAATGTTCTATCAAGCATCTTTCTTTACTCTTCACTACAATATTAACAGCAGTGAAAGAGAAATTTCAGGAGTAGTGCACTACAATATATTCGAGAAGTGGTGAAAATCAAATGTGGATACTTAAAAAATCCAAGGAACTTTACGAAAATGTGAAATCAATTTATTTTTACCAAAATCAATAACATCAAAGCGTATGACTTTTCCACACTTTATACAACCATTCTTCACGATGAATTAAAGTTCAGGCCTTTTGATACCATAGACAGCTGGGTTTTTTTTTCAATAAAAATAGAACTCGTAATTTTATTTACCTTGTCATTGGTCATCTGCAAAATTATTATGTTTAAAAACATTCTGATTGTACACTCAAGTACTGCGAGGTTGATATAAAGATGCTTGAGTTTTCTGATTGACAATATCTATGTAGTTTTTGGAGATCCAGTCTTCAAACAATCTGTCGGAATTTCAATGGGTACAAATTGCGCCCCGTTATTAGCAGACCTATTTTTGTATTCATGTGAAGCTGAATTGACATTTAAAGAAGTTTCTTGCTGTGGCTTTCAATTCAACATATAGATACAATGCATATCGACGACGTTTTATCAATGAACAATAACCATTTTCATTTCTATGATATTGATTCTATATACTAGCATCCCTTTAAACTCGAAATAAAAGATACCACACAGTCTGACAAATCTGTTCATATTTTGATATTTTACTAGAAAAAGACTTTCATGGTAACCTAACAAGAAAACTTTATGATAAACGTGATGACTTCAACTTTTCTATCGTCAACTTCCCTTATTTATGTAGCAATATTACATTTACATTATCCCCTGCATATCGACTTTATGTCTCCTTTTTGATTCGATACGCAAGAGCATTAATTAATCTTCATATTTGACGAACAACTTCTAAAACAAGACAAGCTATTGACAAATAAGTTGATGAAACAAGAATACCAACAGTCTCATTTAAAGTCAACATTTCGCAAATTCTGTGGTCGATACAATGACCTTGTCAGTAAATACAATCTACCAATAAGGCAAATGTTGACTGACGTTTTTCATACATATTTTTAGGGCATTATTTTCACTGCATTGTCTACGGATTTTTCCTTCATGACAGGGAGCACATAGCGCGCATGACAGGTCGACAGGGGATGCTTACTCCTCCATTGCACCTGATCCCACCTCTGATGTTTTAAGAGGACCTTGTTTGCTCTGCTCCAACAATGGACTTTTGAGCATGATTACTGTTCGCTATCTTGATATTTGATTCTTCAACAATTATTAAAGATGAGAATTTTTAATTGTATGAAACATCTGTTATTCTAAAGACTGATTATGCTGAAATATATTTGTTTGTCTTTTTTTCCAGACCTTCTTTGTTTGAATAATCACACTAGTACTGGTATCTATGAAGTGAAATTTTGATAATCATTCATTTTTATCAGGACCTTTGTTAGTAACATTTTTCATCATAAAAGTTTAAAATTCTACTTTTTGAATTGCCGAGAACCTTTGTAGATATTACCTAATAAGTGTTATTCAATTATTCGAGATTTTTTTTTATTACGTATACTCGGTGATTTTGGAAAATGTACACTTACCATGAACAATTTCATAGCTGGCCATAGTTAAAAGAACGCACATAACAGTTTTCATTGTCATAGACTGGCATGCAAACACACATTAAAATGGAGGTTTTTATACTTCCTGTTGCAAATATCAAACACGTCATCAGGTGGATGCACTTCTTCCTTCTTATTTCGAAAGTTTGGGTTGCTAGGAGAATTAGATTTTGTACTTTCAACTTTTAACGAGAAGGTAGCATCTATGCACCCTTTCTTTCTACGGAATAAACTATAAACTATTAAATTTCGATATCAAATTAACTTATTGTATTTATTACAGTATGTAATCATTGTTTTATTTACCACAAATTACAAAATTGCTGATAAGCAGGTAATAATCTATTAGAATCAAATCCCATTCTCCACTAAGCGTAAATTATTTTGAAAATTATTTAAATACGTAGAAGTTTACGAATAGTTTGATTCTACGTATAGCATTTCACTTTTCAAGCAAAAAAGTCCTTTCAGGTCTTTTTCGTCAGGCAGATGTTTAGATAGCAAATGAGATGAAATGGGAAAATGATTGATTTAATGTTATTGTTTAACGCCGAGTCGGCAATATTTCGGCGGTTAATAGGGGAAACTGAATAAACACAGTATTTTCTAATTAAGATAATAAGCAAACGAATGTTTCTCTGTATTACGATAATTCTCATATTAAGGAAAAAGTGATCCTTTCTTTCATAAAATGGAATTTCCTCTAAGACGTGATGAAGATAAAAATAAAACACGAGAAAATTTAGCATACAATACCTAATTAGAGACAAATAGTCGTTGAAGATAAAAAAAATGGATATCAAGGAAGAAAATGATTCATCATGCAGTTCTAGAGTTAAGCTACCTCTCGTAGCAGAGGGTTGGTTCTCCTTAAATTGTGACAGACCTTAATGATTAAAAAATTCTAAGTTTGCGCAATGTTTATCATTAATTGTACTGCTAAAATCACTGCAGATAGACAATAATCATTACAAATGAATATGTTATTGTAATCAAACATTAACATGTTTCTTCATCATCCTTGCATGTGAAATAATTGAAAGTGCATTTCTGTTAGCTTCCAGGAGAAATGTTGATTAAATAAAAGTGTGTCAAGGAAAGTTATAGGAATGTAAAATTTATTCAATTTCACAAAATGAAATATTGAATAATATTTGAAGGTTCATGATAGCATTTCAACGAATTAAGTGAATGGCTAACGTTAGCATAGAAATTTTTAAAAGACGTAAATTACATGGTTAATACTAATTCATTAATGCATACAAAAAAAGTTAAAACAATTTCAGGTCACTGTTTCATACGCTGTTCACTTGTGTAGCCTGTAACTGATAAACACGATATTTGACTTTTAAGGTTTTAATTCTACCCCGTGGCGAGCCCCGCCAGGTAACGCTTACCTGCATAAACAGTAGACAAACATAAATTTTATAAGGTATACATAACGGAAGTCATATTCACCTGATTGGTAAGCTTTTATATATCATGAATAACTATCACAGATCAAAATATCCCTACAACTTGGAAGGGATTATCTTTTTATAAATCATGTAAAGGGAGATTAAAGCTGTATCCCTAGCTACATTGTAATTGTTGGCAGTATAATTGAGGATATAAACATGTCAACTGCGTAAATAACTTTTGTTCATATTTCTATTAATGTTGCAACCTTTTTCATATCAAGATTGGTACTTTATACAATGATAAATTAATAAATCACAGGTTAAAAACATGCATAATTTAATTCTATGTCAATGTGTTATATATATGTTTTTAATTCTGACGGGTTTTATACTAAATGCATTAGTAATACAAGGTATTATGTTTCCGTAAGTGACTCATTAAACTTGCTTGTAACATGTGTCAAAATTTTTATGTGACATTTGTAACAAAGCATTATGTTTTGCAGAAAAGTTCCTAGATCAGTACGTTGATCAATACTAAAAAGTGACAGGTACCGAGATACCTTAGTTTATGCTACGGAGGCGAAGAACTGTCATAATTACTTTAGGAATTTTGTGTTCTGTCGCCGTTTTCTTGTTGATAAATCTGTACTGGCAAGACAGAGGAGACGAAAAGGTCACGAGGTCAGTGAAAACCGAAAGACGTACAATAAGAGATTACATAGATAGCTCGATTCATGACTCCTTTTATGTTCATCAGTTTGATCGAAAGTCTCTGAAGCTGACAAAAACAGCCATCGACTACAATTCTGAAAATAATGCCGTAAACATTTTTCAGTACCAAAAGCTGAAGAGTGCACCATGTGTTCCTTTCCAGACCTGGAGAGGGATGATAAAAATATGCACCCACAACCCGAAGCAAGACACAATGATATCGGCCTTTGTTCATGAATTTGCTACCTGGGAGCAGGATTTTCTTAATGCTACTGGGGATATTTTGACAAAGAACCCACATATAACGTTCGTAGATCTGGGATGTAACATTGGAGTGTATACACTATTTGCAGCTAAACTGGGAATATCGGTCGTATCAGTGGACATTTTCTACAAAAATCTTGCACTTTTATCCGAATCCTTAGAAATTAATTCACTGAAAGAAAATGTCACATTGGTACATAACGCCATTTCGGATCAACGTCAAAATGTTACGATTGAGGTCGTAGAAAACAATATCGGAGGATCGTATGTGAAACCCTTGAAAAACGACAAAATGTCACGGCAGATTATCATCGGGTCAATTTTCATGGATGATTTAATTCCACTGATTAAAACCAAAGATGTTTTTGTGAAAATGGACATAGAGGGAACGGAACTTAAAGCGCTAAAAGCGGCAAAGAATTTTCTTCAAGCTGTGAATGTTAAAGGTATTTTAATGGAATGGGTTTTGCATAAGAATAACCCAAGCGCAAAGGAAATCATAGAGATTATGACTGACAACTGGTTGATGCCTTACTGGGATCACCAACAGTTAGTTCCCTTGAAAATCGGCGCTTATACCTATTGGCCTGATAATGTATTCTGGATAAAACGATGATCTATAATCTGTAATCCATGTAAACGGTGCCAAAGTATATTATATATTTATGAAATAGATAATTTTTATATAGGAATTTCTCATATGTTTTAATGTTTGATTATTTTATAAAAAGAGAAATAGTAGAGAAAAGTAATTTTACTGAAAAAAGCAGCAATATTTTTTTAAGAAAGAAAACACTGTCAGATTAAAATCAAAGTTACTGAGAGTACTGATAGACGTTGGCGTGAATTTATCGAAGTATATGAATAAAATGTTACGATAATCTGTTAAGTGATATGAAAATTATGAAAGTTTATTGCAATTTTTCACATTATTTTATTTCATAAATAAACACATTTTAGTAGCGTCGTTATAATGAGGATATTTGATTTTCAAAAAAAAAAAAAAAAAAAAAAAAAAAAAAATACGAACTTAAGAATATAATACCAGTAGATATTAAGTATAATACAATGTACGAGGGTGATCAAAAAGTTCGCGAACTAATTGAATAATTTCCATAAAAGAAATAAAATTAGGTTTCAGTGTTTATTATTTTTTAAAGTAGACCTCTCCGACTTAAAAGCACATCTGCCACCTTTCTGCCCATGCGCGAATCACGTGATCCAGGCGGTCACGTGACATGCTCCATAGTGTTCTGTTCACATAAGTTAAAAGATTTTTCAGAGTCTTGTATTTCTTACCACGCAAATTATTTTTATAACGAGAAAGGTCCATTTGTCATAAATGGACAAATATCGGCAATAGGATGGGTGGATAAGGATATCTTTTCCTACAATGAGCATGGTGACCATCGCAACCCGACTCCTTTGCCTTGGTGCGTCGTTTATCCATTTGCCTTGGTGCGTCGTTTATCCATTGTGGATACTAAAGTATGGGTGCCTTCTTTTTATCATATCTGATATGTTTAAAGTCTAAAGTAAACGATATTTTAGGGATTTCATAATTATATTATTGTTAAGATATTCAACTACTTTTCTAAGTATAACTTGCAATTGGCGATCTTTTATAACAAATTCCTCAACTTAGAACACCTCTCTTCCCCAACTTACTTTTGCTGGGCACCAGAACAAACTTCATTTTAAACCGTCTCCCTTCCTTCACTTAATTAATTTCATTGCACAATACTTCGCGCAGCATATTAAAATAAAGCGTATTTGCTATTTTAAAGCAACTATTTTTACATAATTTATAAAAATTAACAAATTTAGGAAATATCAGGTTAAAAATCTAATTACGTTTTTAAATAACTGACTTTTTTAAACGATCTATCAAATGATGGGTAGAAAAGAAGTCGTAATAGTGTGTTTTTGACGTTTTGAATAATCAAAGTTCTTTCAGCGGGGTCATAAATTATGTCATAAAATAAAAAGCGTTAGATAGATGCTCTTGAAATTGTAAACATAGGAAATTGAGAATCTCACAAACAATTTTTTTTATTTTTAATGCAAATCTGTGGTATCTGTCATGTTTTGTTGTATACTCCATAAAACAGGAAAATATCATGAATTTTGACATTTTGAGATGCCCCTTCTGAAAACCAGACGGTATAATTTTGAGTTTCTTGCATAAAATGTACAATGTAGTATTACCCATCAAAAAATACAATTTGAGCAAAAAGTCTATAATAGCATTGGTATAATTTGCTCCGAAGTGCGAAAAAATGGTATTTTCCTATTTAATCCTATAGTAAATATACCTGTACTTTGAGATGGTCCTTAAAAATAACCAGACGGTAGATTTTCACTAAACTTGGCATGTATACTAAAGTCGATGTAAGGTACATATGGTATAAATTTAAAGAGTTTCTCTATTATAGCTTTCACACAAGAAAACCCCAGTCGGCTCCCTTAAACAATCAATCCATTAATGATTGAACTTCTGGCAAGTATTTTGTCTTCATAAACCTTGTGCAAATTATTATATGCTACTGCAAAGGAATTCCCAAGGTATATGTTAAACTTTAAAGCCGTTCGTTGCTCGATTGCGACTGAGTCAACCATTTTTGTCACGTCATCTAAATATTGACGCCATTTTTACATTGTGACGTCACAAACGGAGTAAATATAACGTAACATCTGCTATTTATAGAACATGTTTATGACTATATATTTGCCAAATTTCATTTCGATCTGAATTGTGGTTTTGTAAATATAGAGATAGTTTGCGAACTTTTTGATCACCCCTTGTATGTTCCTTAATTATGGTACTATCAAAAATAAAGGCAAGGATATGCATGCACTTGTGCTGAATTTTGATTTGGCTATTACCTTAATGACTGCAACTCTTTAATTTTTCAATTAAATTCTGTTCTCTTTAATACAAAGGTGTATATAAAATGACATACTATATATGGGAAGATATATTGGAAAAAAATATGGAAAACGTTTTTATGTACATGTGCTGAAATCTGATTAGCTAACGGCTATACCGGCGTTATTTCCCGATGAAATACATTTTGGAAAATTAATTACAAATACAAAATACATGGGTATTACCTATTTAATGAAGCTTTGAAAAAATAGGGCACTATAAGGGAGGGGTGGGGGCTTGGGGAACCTTTGTTACGATTCCGTTACAATTTTAAGACTTATTCATGCTGACATGCAGGATATTTTTGTTATCATGCAAGTTACTTGAATATAAATATTATTTGTCATGGCCAGGCTCTTTAAAAAAAGGAATTAAAAGACATTCTCCTACATATTCCTGATAAAAACTTTTATATATGACAATGATTTGGAGAAACTTGAATCTACACTACCTCATAAAGCTCTTACACAGTATCATTTTTTTCTGATTCATTTAGGACGCTCACCCAATTTTTGCCATTTACAATGAGGCACATTGAAGTAGTAAAAAATTCTGTTTGAATGAAACTTTTTGAGCTTTGTTTTGAACGTTGGTTTTTACATAATTACACGACCACTAAGTTTGGATAAGGCGGAGAGAGAGAAACTTCGATTGGCTTAATTTTTCTCACATGCTTTTTTCTAGTATTCCAGTAGAACAAGTAGAAATGCAATACCAAATCAGATTGGCAGTCTACATAAACACCTGACTTAATACGTGTTCGACCTATATACGTATTGTGATATCCCCAATAGACATGGCAAACACATACAAGTAATTTTGACTTTTTTGCTGCAATACATGAGTTTTACAGAAGTAGAAAGTCTTTTACTCTTTCTCCCAACTTCACAAAATATCAATTGCAGAAAAACTTGATTGCTAGATTCAGAGAGTGGGGTGTCTTAAACCATAAAAGAAATAAAAGCAATAAAAAAAAATCCGCCAGAATTAAAACTATTCTTCACAATGAAGAATCGATTCTTCATGGGAATTGGAAACATTTGATTGGCTGAATAAGGGTTATGTTCTAATGTAATTTTTTAAGATGCTTCATTGGTATGCGTGCATGTAGGACAGGTACTAGTATTCCATAAATACAATAGCCAATCATATTGACAGTCTAATTACACACCAGAGGCCTGTTCAACAGAGCGAACGTTCGCGAGCGCTCGCCAAAATTCCTTATCTTTCCAACAGAAATGTTCGCGAGCGCTCGCGAACGTTCGCTCTGCTGAACAGGCCTCATGTAAACGCGTGTTTGATCGATCTATCGATACAAATTCTACGATAACTTAAAACGTGACAATTTAATATACATACTTGTAATTATGTACATATTCATTGTTAAATGTATACCTGAGATTCCCGCTCGGACCTCTCTCTCCCAACTTCATTAATTATATCCCCTTTTCAGTTAATTCAAAAGAAATGAGCGTGTCATTATGTTAGAATTGATTCTCAATTAAAAAAAAAAAAGACCGTTCCATTCAAACCAAAAAAAAAAAAAAAAAAAAAAAAAAAAATTACCACTTTAATACGCATGATTGTTTGTTTGCTTTACGCCTCTTCGAAAATTTTTCACTCATGTTGAGAAACTACCACTAGCCAGTGGAGGGCTGCAAATTTGTCCTGTTCTCGACACTTACGGCCTTTGAGCTGTGAGGGATCTTTTTCGTATCAGCGTCTACTACAAAACGGGACCTCAGTTTATACGGTTTCACCCGAATTCGAAGACCGGACTCCGCGTCACACGTTGGATTCGAACCCTCAACATAAGAATCAACTCCTTACTTCGCAACTCTGGAGCAAACGCTCTGTCCTCTGCAACGCACATTATTGTACATTTATTTGTAAAATAAAAATGTTAATATATATTAAAAGTGCTCTCTAACAGGATTGAAATACACAAGACATTCCATGTCAATTTCCATAGTCCCCACCCACTGACGTCAGTTTCGATGACAGCTAAAAATGGACATCCATATTAGTCACTTGACATTTCACTTAGCAAAATTAACATTCAGTAAATATCAAGAAATTATTACGCTCAACTTTCAGAGTTATCGCAGAAAAAGCAGGTGAAAAAGTAAATATTTTAATGTCACTCTTTGGAAAAGACGGTGGTCCTTCATTTGATCAAATAAATATTCCACATTACTCAAGGATGCTTTGTGAAGTTACTTTGAAATTGGTCCAGTGGTTCTGGAGAAGAAGTTGACGATGTTTTAAAATGTTGACGGACCAATTGTGACGATGGACGACAACATCTGATCAGAAATCCTTACCCGAACCTTCAACTTAGGTAAACTTAAACTAAAATAAAGTAAGATTTCTTCTAAACTTAACCAACTCAATATAAAGACACCAAAAGTCATGTTCTAAAAACACAAACAACGCTGATAATAACATGACCAAATTGCATGCAATAAAGAATGAGGACAGCGTACATTGTCATTACAATTTTATTCCTTAATATCGTACACTTAAAGATGAGGAAAATGTCACCTGTAGTAAATAAACTATATTTTTTAAATAACGAGACAAACCCAAATTTTTCTGAACAATTATATTTTATGCTGATTGAATAAAAATAAGTATGTTTTTACATGACATCAAACACAACAAGAAAAAGGCAAATTGCTACTACTATACGAGTGCAGAATAAACAACAAAATCACATAGGGAAAATTTCATCATTTTTTCTTTGGTTTTTTATTTTTTCGTTTTGGTTTGCTTCGTTTCATTTTGATGTTTTGTTTCCAATTTATCTTCCCTTTTTCGTTTTTCTTTAATAACTCCTTAATTACTTTTTTGGCTATTATTAATTCCAGTTAAGTGTGCCGTTTTGCATTACGTCACAACCTATGATGACAGCTGCACTCAAGGTAAATAGCAGACGCATCCTAACCGCAAGCTTTATG